TCTAACTGTAAGAGATTCTATGGAGATTAGAAAAATTATTTTTAATATAATTATGTCTTCAATGCCAGTTTTAGACAATTATAGAAATGTAGAAAAAAATTATTCATCTAAATAAATAATGTCTCAAGATATAAATTAGCCAATAAGCAATAAATGATACTTAGCTCTTCTTTGGCCTCTCAAAACATCACATTTGAAAATGTGTTACTCCTCTATGCTTTTTTTTTTTTTTTTTTTTTTTTTTTTTACTGCCACTATCTGAAGAGCAGAAAAATAATAAGCACTTGCTGATAACAATTCATAGTTCTATTACATCTCAGGAAGAAATGAAACTATGAGTAAGAACTGAAACTAAGAAGAAAAAAATCAAAGTGATTCAATCTGGGGAAAAATACTGAACAAAGTCTAAATCTAAAAATTCTAAGTTATCAAAAACACAGCCAAAAATCACTTCCGAAAAGCCCTAGAAATCAACCTTTTAACCTGTTTTTGAAAAATCATAGGACATTTCATCACTCCGGAAATCTCAGTACCAATGGTTCTTTCTTGGTTTTATGTTTGTTGTTAACTGATATGGTAACTGCTGAAAACCAAAATGTTCCATATAAATGTGTTATACTAATCTTAATAAGTACAAACAGAATTTTATTTTTTGTTTTGTAAAGTCAATCAAACTTACATGATCATAGGTCAAACAAAAATAGATTTTGCTGAACTGTGTTTTGTTGTTTTTTTAGGAAAAGCCCAGCTAAATGCTTCTTGACAATTCCTTGAAAAAAGCTGGTAAGCCAAAGTAAATATTGTATTAGAGAACAGGGGCACGACAATAGACTTAGTACACACTGCCAGCCTTTGTGTTTAAGACTAGGGCAACTAATACACTGTTAAAGAGAAAAGTGGCAGCTTCCCTAAAGAAAAGATTGAGAGAAAGTTGTGTGTGTGTTTTTATCTATTTAAAATTTATAAATTAACCAATAACTTGTTCCAGAAAATAACTGCAAATGAAAACACCTTTGTATGCTCATTTTTGAAATGAAGGGCTTAATAGCTATTCTGTTACTTCAAAGATATATAAAGGATTTAAAACATTTTCAGTTACATTTAATTATCTCCACTTGTCTTTTGACAATTTGTCTCACAATCTATTCTAGGTATACAAAAAGTGAGAATCTCTGAACGGATACTACAGATGGGAATAGAGACAAGAAGTTGAAGGTGTGTCTGCTTGGTGGCGGGTGGGCGGGTGGCAGGTTTTGACAAGGATCACGTTGTTCCATTTAAACCTGTAAGGCTGCTGAGTGTGAGGGAGTCAGTCCTTTAAGGCTGTACTTTAAAAAAACTTGGAAATTATATAAGAAATTCATAAGTACTGAGAAGCATCTGTTTTAACTGGGATATGCTGACCAGAGGAACAAAGTGTGGCTAGAGCAACATTAGCTGGGCCTTCTCTCCATAATCTCACTTGATTGTTATCTCAGAAGTACAAATCCATTCTCTAAACATGGCATTCTTTTCTTGTTACCTTTAGAAGCAAGAAACTTGTTTATTTTTTCTGACTCGATGAATAAAAATACTGATATAAACAACAAACTTGAATTTTTCTTTCATTATTTAACTTCAGGCATTCTTAGCATAATTCCTGACAAACTAATCTGGGAAGATAACATCTACACTAGCCCTGGTTAGCCAGCCACTTGACCCTGGTTCTTAAATCAGAGAAGGAAACGTTAAGAAGGCCCAGTGTTTTGTACCTGTGCCCTTATTATTTTCTCAAGTGTTCCCCACTGCCCAGGCTAGCTCTACTGATCACGCCCCTTTTCTCAGGAACAGGCTAGGCCCTCGAAGGTTCACTGCACAACACCGGGAGCCTGCTCATTCACAGAGGCTACAATGTGGAGACACCTCACTGTGCACAAGGTGCCCGCCTGCCTTACTCAGGGGGTCGCTGCCTGGTCTCCGGATTCTGTTCTATTATCTCCTGGTCTGTATCATCAGCTTCCATCTCTCCATAAACTCAACTTGTTATGCTTACAAACGTGCATACATTTCATTCATTAACATATTATAATACCCCAATGAAGCAAAACAAAGAAGACCCTAATCCTTTTTGGATGGAGCCCACTCCTCTAAGCAGCAGCCCTTCCCTCCCCTCCCTCACAAAAGGCACACAGACAAGTCCACGTGTCCTTGTCCTCAGTGACGATAATGCTTTCCCCGAGGCTCTCCGTTTGCACTGGACTGTCACATGGCCTCTTTGCTGCTCTCCCAGCACCTCTTACTCTTCTCTTTGACTTTTCCTTCTGCATAGTTTGCCACAGGATCTTATATAAAATACAATTCTGTCTCTATCATTCTCCTGCTTACATTCCTGCAATCACTCCCCATCATTTTCAAGAGAAAAAATCTAAACTCCTTAATAAGGGGTACATGATCAGACCTATTTAGCTTCGTCTCTTAAACCACCCTTAGCTTCTCCTTCATTCTAAATTCAGACATCCCGAATCCGCTGCTGAACCTGCCGCTCTCCTGCACGTTGTCCTCACTGCCCTGCATGTCCTTGCACGTGTCTTTGTTTCTTTTTCTCCAGGGGCACCCTTATCTTGATTTCCCTGCCCAGTAAACTTCTACTTACCCTCCTAGCCTTACTTCAAAGTCCTCCTCCTTCAGAAACCTTCTCTGATCCTAATCTCCCCTTCCTCTGTCCTCACACAGACCCTGTGAACTATAGTTGAAGCTTCTTAAGAAGAGTACCAGTGCCTAGACCCCAACAGGCACTTAGTAAATGTGTATTTAATGATAATTATTGAATTTTTCTTCCCTTGTTCTCTGTCTCCCTAAATGCACTATTTATGTCTCTCATTCTCTGAATCCCCAGCCAGCACCTAGCAAGTACTACATAACTAGATCTCACCAAAGATGAACAACTGTTGAAGGAACCAACAGGATAACTACCTCCAAACTCTCGCTCTTCCAACAGCTCTGCACGTGGTTGCAAGATTACTTTTCCTGATCTACCAGCTCACCGAGGTTTCCATCAGGGATCTCCACCCCGCCCCCCCCCCCCCCCAAAAAAAAAACACCACAAAACAAAACTCGCAGTGGCGTCCTATGACCTGTAGGTTGAAGCCAAGTTTCCCTACCTCCGTTCTTTTGGGTAGAAATGCTCTTTCTTTGATCTTCACAGATTCTCTCCTCCTTCCCCTTTGTATCTTAATTCAGGCCTTTCCTACCTGCTCAAACTAAAGTTGGCGCTGAGTCAGTCTATTGCATGAACCTGATTTAGTTTCTCAATGCCCCCATATATTAAAGCTAAAATGACCTTCTTCATGGGCCTTTTTCTATTTTTTCTAAGTGTCTTGCTATTGCCTCCCTCACTAGAATGTAAGGACCAAGATTCCATCGAAAAACTACTAGACCTAATAAATGAATTCAGTAATGTAGCAGGATACAAAATTAACACCCAGAAATCTATGGCTTTTTTTTTAATACACCAATAATGAACTTACAGAAAGAGAAATTTAAAAAAAAAATCCCATTTACCAGTGCAACAAAAAAATTTAAGATACCTAGGAATAAACTTAACTAAGGAGGTAAAAGACCCGTACTTGGAAAACTACAGGACGTTGAAAAAAGAGATCGAGGAAGACATAAACAAATGGGAAGAATATACCGTGTTCATGGATTGGTAGAATCAACATCATTAAAATGGCCATACTACCCAAAGCAATCTATAGATTCAATGCAATCCCCATTAAGATACCAACAGAATATTTCACAGACCTTGAATAAACTCTCCAAAAATTCATATGGGAAAAAAAAATCATATGGAATAGAATGTTAGGGCCGTAAACACTAAGGTCTGGTTGACTTTGTCCACTGCTGCATCCCCTGTCCTAAAGCACTTCCTAGAACCAGAGGTTAAGTGCTAAACATTGTTCAATGAAGGAAAGACTGAATGTAAAAATAATTCCAACGGGCATTCAAGGTCCTCGATGGCCTGGCCTCACTCTACTCTCCCAGCCTTATTCCCAGCTATTTCCCAAACACCCACTGTGCCTCCTAACTAGGCCCATCTATAAGAGCCTTATCTTCATTTTCTTCCAAGTTAAATTATCTTCCTCTTTTAAATTGAGCTAAAACTCCACCTCTCTATAAGGCAATCCAAAGTGGGAATCTCACCCGGCTGGTGTGGCTCAGTGGCTGAGCATTGATCTATGAACCAGGAGGTCACGGTTCGATTCCCAGTCAGGGCACATGCCCAGGTTATGGGCTTGATCCCCAGTGTGGGGCATGCAGGAGGCAAATGGTCAATGATTCTCTCATCATTGATGTTTCTATCTCTCTCTCCCTCCCCTTGCCGCTCTGAAATCAATAAAAATATATTTTTAAAAACCAACAAAGTGGTAATCTCTTTGACTATATCATTCACCTATTTAATGCCTTAAATATATTTTAATTCTTTAGAGCTGTCTTATAATGAAATTTTTTAAATTTCAGGAATAGGTTTTAAGTAATAATAAAAAATTTTTAAAGGAAAAATTCTTTATGCTATGAGTAAATAAGATTCAGACTTCGTTTTATTTAATTATTTTAAATTGTATGCTTTTTGCTTTAAGTATACCAAAGAAGTTTGCTTTGTGCAACGTAATAGTTAAAAGGCAACATTCAAAATTTGTTAGTGAGAGTTGGTTCTACTAACAACTCTGATGTCCACTTTAACTAAAGATAATAATGGCCACTGACCATACCATGAAAAGGCATCCTGAAAGTAACTCTTCCACCTTTTAACTGTGAGCCTAGCATGGTCCAGTTGATTACATAATTTGTTTTAATATTGTAATCAATACTATTAGTCGGAATATTCTCAAAACTTCAAGTCAATTTTAAATAATTTTACTGATCTGCATCTTGTTGACCCCAGTGTTAGATAAATACAAACATACCTATACTCAGAGCAGAGAATGCAATATGTAACATGTAAGTAAAAGAAACATGCCAACCTGGATACCAACTTGGCCCCACTAGTGTCCTCTGCTGAATTCACGTCACCCCAGCCGGGTTTTCTACGACTTAGCCGCAGGCTGACCTGAGCAACACCATCACATCGCTCGGGCTGTGGTATTCTGTAGACCTGAAGAGATCCCTCACTCTTGGACTTTGGGATCTAGAAAATAAAATGGAGGGAGGGAGAGAGAGAGAGAGAGAGCGAGAGAGAGAGAGAGCGAGAGAGAGAGAGAGAGAGAGAGAGAGAGAGAGAGAGAGAGAAATTAAAAAAAAAGACCCTTCAAATTAAGTTACTGCAGAATATTTATTATAATTTATTAATAATCTCATGTATTAACACTCCAACCTAGATATGGATTTTATAAACCTAGGTATGGAATTAAAAATACATTAAAAAATTCTTATATAGCAGAGGGCACAGTGAAGGGGAACTTCTGAACCATATACGGCCCAGACCCCTCTCTCCTGGATTCTGATGCAAATCTTCCTCAGGCCTTACAGTCCTAAGAATAACCACTCTATGTAATGAAAGATTCTAAGAGTATATCAGACTGCAACCTGGAGTGAAAGAAGTAAAAAATAGAGGCAGAAAAATAAAAGATAGAATGCCAATGTTAGAAAGGTGTCTAGAAATATTTACTATCAACAAGCAAGCTACACACCAGTGTGCTAATAATTTCTATTGGAATCCTCTTTGTAAAGCAAATTATGATATAATAATTTTTGATTAAGAAAATAAATAAGAAAAACACAACCCTTTTAGCACTCTTATATTTTTGAAATCATGGGCAACACAAGCACCAAATACCCGGTGTACTGACTTCTCATATCTGAAGTTATATGCTCCCTCCAACCTCAAGCTCTCTTACTCTAAACTGTAAAGAGAGTGAATACAACTACCTTTCCTAAAATATATATATATATAAATCATGTCAGAATTTCAGGAACATTTCAAACCCTTGGATCAACTTTACTTGTTACACTGGAAACTTTTCCTCAGATCTAGAACTTTTCTTATGCTGGTTTTTCCACCTGCAATGTCATCAGTTCATCACTGGCCACTCATCAACTGTGTAAGATCAAACCAAACCCTAACTTCCTTTGAAGTCGAGATAAGAATCCACTCACCCAAAAAGCTTCTCCAACTACCTCAGGTCTTAACCAGCTTTCCCAACTCCGAATTCCTGTAGCAGTATCCACACTTGATTACATGTCATCTGATACCTTAAGTTTAGTTCATAATTATGCTGCCTGATGTTTCTAGATTATTTTACCTCAACCAGATCCTAGAGACAGAGATTATAGCCTCATGCTCTTCCTACTTCTCCTCTTCCATCCCCCCCTTCCTCTTCTCTGTGTTATTATTTTTAACATTTTTACTATAAAGTCTAGCAATGTTTTGAACCCACTAATACTTATTGTCAGACAACACACATTTCAATTACAAGATATTCCCAAGTCACTTACTGGCAAAGAGGCTAGGATAATATGGGGATAATTTATGTAAGTATATAAAATTCACATCACTAGGAGGATTACATAAAAATAATATATAAAAATAATTTAGCACCCTGGCCGGTGTGACTCAGTTGGTTGGAGCGCCAACCCGTGCACCAGAAGATTGTGGGTTGATTCCAGGTCAGGGCACATACCTAGGTTGCAGGTGTGATCCCAGTCAGGGGCGTATGGAGGCAACCGATTAATGTATCTCTCTCACATCAATGTTTCTCTCTTTCTTCCTCCCTGCCTCTTTCTCTCCTTTCTCCCTTCTTCCCTTTCTAAAATTTAAAAAATAATTCAGCAAAGAGTTACATTTAACACAAAGCAAATACGCAATAAAAGCTAGTTTTCATTAATATTGTTGTCACATAAAATTTGCCCAAATCAGATGATTACCAATTAATAGTCGGGTGGCATAGCTCTATAGGGCATTCATAACTCATGAAAACCAAGGAAAGCAAGAACATTTCTTTTAGAAATTATAAACTATATCATTCGCAGAGATATTTGCCAAAATTACTTCTAAAATAAATATTCATATAAACAGCAAGAGAATGTGAAAAGTACAAATATATGCTATTATGTAGTTTATAAAGGGACTCCTTTTGCCGTAATTATTTTTCATAAGAATAGACATGAAAAATTAATTAAAACACTGGAAAAGCAGTACAATTTCAAACTAGTTAGCTAAAAAATTCACTTCCAGACTGTTTTTTCAATATTAAAACAAACAGTACAGCAGTTGTTTGGCTGCATTTCATCATGTTAAAATAAGGACTTGACATTTTAGGTTCAGTGAAAACTTCTGGGTTCTAAATTTAATTCAACAATTTATGTAAAGGAAAACTATTCTTTTTTAAAAATATATTTTTATTGATTTCAGAGAGGAAGGGAGAGGGGAGAAAGAGATAGAAACATCGATGATGTGAAAGAATCATTGATTGGCTGCCTCCTGCATGTTCCCCCTCCCCCACTGGGGATAGAGCCCACAACCAGAGTATGTGCCCCTGACCAGAATTGAACCCGGGACTCTTCAGTCCACAGGCAGACATCTATCCACTGAGCCAAACAGGCTAGGGAAAGGAAAACTATTCTAAGGTAAAAAAAGGTAATATGCAGTTGATTGCATTATGTCAATTTACATCAATCTAAGGGTATTTCTGTGTAATTTCTTTTGTTGTTGTTTTGTTAATCCTCACCCAAAGATATTTTTCCATTGATTTTTAGAGATAATGGAAAGGAGAGGGAGAGAGAGAAATATCGACGTGAGAGAGACACATTGATTAGTTGGTATGCACCTTTGACTGGAATCGAACCCGGACCTTTCAGTCCATGGCCCAACGCTCTCCACAGAGCCAAACTGGCTAGAGCTGATAACTTAATTTCTATAGAAATAACATAGAGATGATTGTCATTAACCATGAATTTTACAATATAAACTCATTATTAATATATATCACAGTAGTACAAAGAACTGAGCTTGTGCACAGAACCTGAAAATATCACATGAAGCTTATATTGGCATTTATGAAATTTGTTAGAAAAAAGTAGCTCAGAAACTCTGAGACTTCTAGAAATGTGGAATTTATACATATATTTTTAAGGGAATGTACATTTTTAAAGGTAACTAATGAAATATTCTTGAAGATGTACCTTGAAGACGATACACTTTCACTATGGACATTACTATAGAGAAAATGAAGTGATTTTAAAACCTGCTGTGTTTCTGATGCAATTAATTTTAATATAAATGTGCTAACCTTGAGAAAAAGGAAGAGATCACTTACTTTACTGTATCTGGAATTGAGCTTTTTAGGAACGCGTGATCTTAGCCTTGGCCTTATAAAGCAGGCAGAGGGGATAGTTTTATTTCTATGCTTCTGGGTGTCCATTTCAGGTAGTATATCGTTTAGCGGCGAACTCTGAGGTGGTGCTCAAGGCCCCTTTCATCACAGAACTCTCTGAGGAGGAGGAGCAGGACACCAGTCAGCCAAGCCCCAGGGTACAGGGAACCTGTTATTACAGTGTGGCTTTCAGCAGTGGTTCTCACTTGCAGCCAATTTTGTGTGTAGACATTTTTGATCGTCATGACAGGAGTGAGGGAGTGTGCTATTGGAATCCAGTGGGCTGAGGCCAGGGATGTGACTAAACATCCTACAATGCACAGGCCAGCCTACCAGGAAAAGGAGTTATTTGGTCTAAAATGTCAGTGGAGCTGAAGTTGAAAAACCCTGCTTTAGAGGAAATGAAAAGACGAAACCTGTATCGAGGCAACTCCTCCCTTGTTACACTTTTCTTTTAGTTCCACCCTCCTTTTCTTGCCATTGGCATGTTAAGATGTTATGGGCCAAGATTAATTTTAGCAGAAATGGGTCACGCAAGGCACGTAGACCTGCCTTGCGTAGGCGAGTGTCACTAGTGCATCATGAGGTTCAGCTAAGCTCAAGCTCCGATGGGCAGGGACTCCAACTATAGCCAAAAGCCTCACTGTGATGAACAGAGTGAGTGTGTTGGGAAAGGCCACCTGCAGCCACCTCATAATGTGTGGCTGCCGTAGGAAAATGGCCACGAGTTTAGGATTCTGACTGGGTGGCCAGCTCCCTCTTTCCACTGGAGATATTCACTTATTCACACCACACTTTGCTTCTTATTTTAAGCGATTTCTTCGTGGTAACTTTGATACTTGAGGGTGAAAACTATAAAAGCCCCCAAACCACCTACGAAAAACATTTTGCTCAGAAGAATTCTGCACTGGCCATTTGAGATAAAGATCTAGGCACACTCTCTCTGTGTAATTTATGTGTACAACTAAAATACTAACAATTCCAGAAATCTTAAAAGAGTGCATTCCATGCATGTACTTGCAGGTATGGAATAGTCTGATCGAGAAGTTAAGCGATGCCGTAAGAATGAAACAAAAGAATAACTTTTGAGAATATAAAATTAGGAAATATTCTCTTAGATGCTGTTATAAGTAAACATTTAGTGAGAATTTACTCCGTGCTAGGCATGTTTTCAAGAGATTTACATAATTAATTCTCACAACAACCCAAAGAGACAGGGACTATTATTATTACCATTTCACAGGTGAGAAAACTGAGGGATAAAGAGTTCAAGTTATTTGTCCCAGTGAGTAAGTGGCAGAAATTACAATTACAACCCAAATAACCAACCCTCAGTACCTGGGCTTACCATTAGTCTCTATATTTGGTTTCAGGTTAAGTATTAGAATTGCAAGAAGAAAATACAATTTTGGATAAAAGTTACATTACAGCCCATAATGCAACCCATTTTCTGCATTCTCTCTTTTTGTTTGCATTAATAAAATTTTCCTTAAATTTATTTCTCTATGGTCTGCTAAACCATTCTAGTAAAATAATCTTAGGGGGGAAATCAGATATGAGGTGAAAATTGTATGGAAAATGTGTGTATCATACTTTTATTAGTAATAGACAAAAATGTAAGTATTCTAAATAGCCAAATTATCACACTGGGTAATTTTGGCACCTCTATATGATGGATTATTCAGCCATTAAAATGTCTACAAGGTTTTTAATGAGACTGTAAAGTCAGTTTAAGCTCAGCTAGCAATAAAAATGCATACAGATAGCTATCTTCCTTCAATATAACTCGGATCACCCCCATTCTTTAAACTGACAC